TGCTTTTTGCCGCTCTTGGGGGTGGTGCAATGGGGACTGCTCGGCCCCGTGGAGGCGTCGCGGCTGTGGGGCGAATGGCTAACGCTGCCGTAGTTTACACACGGGCTGCTCCGCGTAAATTTCCGATCCTTGGTCGATCCCCACGCGGAGGGGGTCACCACCGACACCCCGATGTGGGACAGCGAAACATTCGGCTTGTCCAACTCGGAGGCGACATCGACAACCGGGCCAGACCTCATCTGAATATCCTCGCAACTGCTCGAAGAGGAGGACGAGGAGGCGCTTCGCATATGCCCGTCGAAAGAGTGGTCTTGATCCTCCGCATCACACTTCCAGGTCGATGCGGTAGCCAAATCCATGGAACATATTATCGGGGGATAGGCCCGGGCACGGACGCGGGCGGCGGTGGCGGAGGCGCAAGCGCTCGCATTCTGTAGGGTTTTGTGGATATTCGTACTCCACGCGGTCAAAGAAACTTGCGCGGGACGTGGGGAGGCGCACGATGAGGGATTACTGAATCGCTGCTTCGATAGAGACTGCGATGGGGACTGCGACGTCGCGGACTGAAGGCTCTTCTTGGCTTCCTGAGACTTCAACCCGTGCGATCTCGCGGCCTGCGAGCCGAGCGCTTTTACGGACTTGGACTTCATCCGCGGAGTCCCCATCTTCTCTGGGACCCCGGCGTCGCCATTGCGATGGCGCGGACGCTTTCCGGAATCCGCCGCGTGCCGGGATTTCGTATCCTGCTGAAGGATCGATACCGGCTCCGACGGATTCCCGCCTGGGCAGGTACCGAATGAGCCCGTCTGGTTCCGCTCCTCGTGGGTCGCCGACAACGAGCGGGAGCGGAACTTCGCGACGTTTACCCGACTAACGCTGTTATTACTCTGTCGTCGGCCCCCTGAGGCGTGGCTCACGCTATCCGCATCCCGCGGGGCGCCGGGTAGCGTACTATAGGGATCCCCCGTCGAGACCGACGAGGTAATCGCTCCGGAAGAGCTTCTATGATGCCGAGCCGATCGACCCTGACGCGATGACAGGGAAGGTCGCTGATCGGTACGGGAACTCGCCTGACTCGATTCCACAGGGGGGATGTTCCCAAAACTCGCGCTCCCAAGCTCGCCTTCGTTCGGAGCCGCAGCAAAAGGCCTGAGGGGCGGCACGGGTATGGTCGCGCTGGTTTTCAAAAAACCTGCCCGGTTCTGGGGAACGCTATTGGGTGCCTCCAGGGTGAGAAAAA